TGGTGCCATGCTCTTTTTTTAACAACCAGTTCTTTCTCAGTGAACTAATAGAATGAGAACTCAGTTCATCCCCGAGGAAGGGCATTAATTTATTTGTGAGGGATCCGCCCCATGACCCACATAACTCCCACTAGGCACCCCACCTCCAACGCTGGGAATCAAATTTCAACATGAGATTTGGAGGGGACAGATGTTCAAACCAGGCCAATTACATCGATTCATTTTTATATGTTAAACCACCTTTGTATTCCTGGGATAAATCTCAGTTTTTACATGTTGTTGGGTTTGGTTTTCTAGTATTTCGTTGAGGATTTTCGCATCTGTATAGGAGATATTCCTCTGTAGTCAGTTAGTTCCCTCCCTGAATCCCTCCCTTCCTTCCTGGCAGGTTTTGGTATCAGAATTGCTTGAGCCCCGGAGATGGAGGATGCAGTGAGTGCTCTGTCTCAAAAAAAAAAGAAAAAAAAAAAAAGCATCAAAAAAGCATAATGTTGGATGAAATAAGAAGATACTGTTTATATGAAGTTTATAAACTGGTAAAAAAATCAGTGATTTATTTTGGCATGTATACATTAGAGGTAAAAATAAAGACATGTAAGGGTATAACACTAAGAATGCTGATGACCTTTCGTGGGAGATTGAGCGGGATACAGTTGCAGTTGCACTTACAAAGCTCCCGGATAGTGAGTATATACATGTGTGCTTTGCTCTTGATTCTAAAATACATGCATATGGTAGGCCCCTTCTTTTGCATGCAATATTTTGCATTGCTCATTCATAAAATGTAAGGTAGTTATGTGCAATATAAAACATTGTGAAATCTTTTTTTGTGGGAGGCACGTCAACCAGGTGCCGAGGCAGGAGACCGAAGGCACAAGCTGTTCCAGTATAAGAAAGAAAATAATCAGAATAATAAAAGTTATATTAGAAATAGGATAGAGATATTACATATGAATATTATAAATCATTAGCTTGTAGTGTTACTGTTTGTTTTATTATTATAATAATCTCAGTTCTATAGTTAAAACCTAAGGAAATACCAGGCCATACAGAATTAGGAGCTGAAGGGACACTGAGCAGTGACCAGAAGACAAGAGTGTGAGTCCTCTGTCACGCCCAGATAAGGGCCGCTTGAGGGCTCCTTGGTCTAGCGGTAGCGCCAGTGCCCGGGAAGGCATCCCTTACTTAGCACACCGGGAAAGGGAATCTCCCTTTCTCCAGGGGAGGTGGAGAACACTCTGCTCCGGCACCTCTTGTGGGAGGCCTGACATTAGCCAGACCTGCCCACGGCCATCCAGAGGCTTAAACCTCTCTCCGTGGTGCTGTGCTTCAGTGGTCACGCTCCTTGTCCACGTTCACATTCCACCTGTACACCTGGTTCCTCCTCTCAGGAGTAGCAGAATTAGTAAAAGTATTAAAGTCTTTTGATCTTTCTGTGAAGTGCATACAAGAAATGCTGACGGACGCTGTCCTTCCTCCCCGCCTCGGCTACCTTAAAGGGAAAGGCCCCCTGTCTGGTGCACACATGACTCGCGTGACCTTATCAGTCATTTGAGATCACTCACACTTCTTACCCTGCCCGCTTGCCTAGAACACAGTAAATAGCAGCAAGTGCAAGCGTTCGGGGCCACTACCCATCTCTGCGTCTTGGTGGCCCCCCAGGCCCAGCTGTCTTTTCTCTTATCTCGTCTTGTGTCTTTATTTCTGTGATCTCTCATCTCTGCACACAAAGAGAAAACCCACAGGCCCCGTAGGCCTGGACCCCAAATTTTTTCCTACAATTTATGAGTAGTCTGTAAAGCTGTAATCTTTTGCAAAGTAGGTGGTAACTTTCTTCTAACCATGACTTTTGAAATTCTTCTATCTTCATACTAATAAAAATGAATTTTAACCATTACAATGTATGCCAAAATCGGTTGCATATGTATTGTAAATGAAAACATGAACCAATAAAGCATTTATAAGAAAGGATAGAAGAGTATTCTCGTGACCTTGAAGTAGAGAAAATCTTATTCAGTATACGAAAAGCTCTGAGCATATAAGAAATATAAAGGAGAAAATTGATTAAACTCCATTAGAATTAAGAACTGCTCATTATTACAAGTGCTTTAAGTAAATGTTGGTATTTTCACACAATGGCATACCATATAGTTATGATCATTGCATTGTGCAACCTGGATGGATCTCACTGATTTTAAAAATCTGTAAAATTATATACTACATAATTTCATTTGTATAAATGAAAAATAAACAGTCAAAATTAATCTAGAGTGTTAAAAGACAGAATACTCTTTTACTCCAGTTACTCTTTATCTGCAAAGGGGATATGCGGGCAGTTTCTGAGGTACTGGTTGTTTGGGTGAGGGAGAAAGGACAAGATGGAGGAAGGTGAACAAGAAGGCACAATCCATGTTGCTTCCGGGCTCTTCCTCACCAACATTCCCGCGCGCGGGAAAATGCAGCCCGCCCCGGGAAGATGCAGATCAACTGAGCATGCGCCAGGTGATGTCAATCCGAAGAGATTGAAACTTTCCCGGCCACGCCTACGGGGACGCCCCTATCACGCCCTTATCCCACCCACTGCCCCCTCCTTCCAGTACCAATGCATAAAAGTCCGCTGCAGGCAGGAGCCGATGTGACTTCTTCGGCCCCCGCATTTGTGGACCGGAGAACATCACCCGAGAGCGCCGGCGCGACTTCCCTGGCCCCCCACACCTGAGGACCAGAGAACCTCGTCCGAGAGTGTGTGCATATTTGCAATAAAAGACTGCCACTTTCTTACGTACTTTGGCCTCATGTTTAATTACTTAGCTCTCCTAAATTAAATTGTTTTGTGTGCTGGTTACATACGTGTGTTCACTCAGAAAATTCTTAAGGCTGTACATTTTTATTTGTGTATTTTTTTCTATGTTTATTTTATATTTTATAAAAAGTTTCCTCAAATGTTTAAATGCATAGGAGTATGTATGGAATGGGCTTCCATTTGTGTAGAAAAAGGAGGAATAGGTTATTTATACATGCTTGCTGGTGTATATGTAAAATATCTGTCGAAGTTATGCAAGGAAGTGACAATGTTGGTTGCCTGGAGTGGCAAAAGACAGGATGGGAGGAAGATTTTTTGAGATCTGTTTAAGATAAGTTCATGAAAGATGGACACATCCTGTGCTTTGTGTGTTGGAGCTCCTATAAATGGTTCTTATCCATTACTGATTTTATGTTATAAAAACATAGCTTGATGTATTATTTGTACCCTATTTTAGATAAAATAGATAAAATAATCTAAATTTTATTTAGATAAAATTTTACATGAATTAAACTGATAAAATTGAATCAGTGGTATATGTTCATGTAAAGCTTGCAGATATGTGAATACATATCCCAATGTATTACATAGCAATAATACATTTTGTTTATTAGAGACAGGGTTTCTCCATATTGGCCAGGCTAGTCCCGAACACCTAACCTCAGGTGATCCACCTGCCTTGGCCTCCCAAAGTACTCAGATTACAGGCGTGAGCCACAGCGCCTGGCCTTAACAATGTGTTCTTATGGCAACTGGGACTGTGAGGATGCTGTTAGCAGAAGACATTTTACTTGCTGACTTCTGGAAGGATAAAATAATTCAGGTGCCAAAAAAACTAAATGCATCTGCTTACTATCATTGTTTAACAGCTGTTACCAATCAACATGGAAACTTTGTTTGGGTATGAAGCACTAATTTCCAAGGATCAGTGAAACAACTTTGATTTGTTATGCTGATTTTTGACTCTAGGCTTCTCTGTTTTAGCCTCACACAAATGGGGCTTATGTAGGAGGCAATGAATGGCAAATGCCCCGCCTCTACCTGCCCTGCCCTTTACTTCTGAAAAGTCTGGTTATTACCAAGATTATTTCTTGGCAATTAACAACTTAACATAAACTGTTGTAATTGATGCAGTTGGCTGTTTGGTTACATTTGCTTCTGAATTAAAACAAACATGTTTATTTAAATAATTCTGATTTGGTAGCCACCTGGAATAAGTGGAAATTACTGATAAAGTACTTACGTTGCTCTCTTAGTTTCTTTTCCTTGTGTTTTAGCATTTCATCTTTCTTCTCTGGTGGTTTTTTGTTTGTTGTTTTTCAGGTCTGTTTCTGTCAAGGCTTTTTTTTTTTCTCCCCCCCATGTCATTTTTAAAGCATTCTGTCTCCTTTCTATCCGGGGGGTGTGTGTGTGTGTGTGTGTGTGTGTGTGTATATATATATACACACATACATATATACACACACATATATACACATATATATACATATATACATATATACACATATATATACATATATATACACACATGTGTATATATACACACACACACATCTATATAGGCATATAGGTATATATTTCCTTCCTGCCTTCCTTAAAAAAGAAACCTTACCTACCTGGATTTAGAGCAAGAAATTGTCTGATTGAATTCTAGCAGTTTCTTTAAAAAGAAATTCTTCTTAATGACGTAAATAGGAAAATTTTAGTTTAAAGGACTAAAAATTATTCATCTATGTATACAGGAAATCTGTTATTAACATTAGCCAAGTTTATATATTTTATTTCCTAAAATCATTCTGTATATTATTTTGTTTTTTTATATTTATATTTGTATTATATTATTTCCATGGAAATTTCTAGGTCATTTCCAGAGAACTTCCTTAAAAGGTATTGTCGGTGGCAGCGTGCGGCTTGTTAACTGATGACTCGACACCCTTGCATGTATTAAGTTCTTTCCGACCGAAACTTATATAGTATAATTATATACTGTATAATTATTATACTGTAGGGATGTTATTATCTGCTATATTGGTTCTTGATACATACATACACATATCTGATCCAGAAAGAGTACAGAATTTTTAATGTGTTCCCTTGTCTCTTCAATTTTCTGGACCCAGGAGTTGCCTGTCACCCAGGTCCTCTGACTTTAATTGATCGAGATGTTCTGTTTTTCTCCTTCCCATATTCGTGATAGGTGGAGGAGTTACTGATGGCCATGGAGAAAGTAAAGCAGGAACTAGAGTCCATGAAAGCAAAGCTGTCCTCCACCCAACAGTCTCTGGCAGAAAAGGAGACTCACTTGACTAATCTCCGGGCGGAGAGAAGGAAGCACTTAGAGGAAGTTCTGGAGATGAAGTAAGTGTTTGTGTCTTACTCTTCAAGCATAGGCTCGGTGGAAATGCTGTTTCTCCCTGTCTTTGTCTGGCTCTGTTGATTCCCCAGTACACTTACCTAATTTTAATGCTAACTTGTAGTTCTCACTCTCTAGAATAAATTTGGTCAAAGGTGGAACAAATCCTGATCAAATAGAAATATTTTTGGTTCCTCTAATGAATTTTAAATCCTCTGGCATATACGTATCTGTGTGTAGTTAACTCTCTGAGATTCCTAAAATCTTCTGGAAAGTTCAGGCAAAATGGTGAGCTTACCGGGAAGAGGGCTGTTGGTTCTGAGGTCGTAGGAAGACGAGGCAGTTTTTAAACACATTTTTTATTGTAAACATTTCCAAAGGTACACACAAGTAGAGAGAATGAACCCCCATATACCTGTCTCCAAGATTCAATAGTTAACATTTTGCCACACTGGAAACCAGTTTTTAGAAAATTGTCACTTTTAGCAAAACTTTGCTATACAACATTTTCCTGCTTCCCCCACATTTTGTAGGTTGCTGAGACTATAATCTGTTCTGAAGCATGTATACATCTGCTAATACATAGTAGATGTTTCTTTTTCTTCTCAGTAACCTTCTGTTTAAAACAAACATGTCTTTTTGCCTTCCCCTTACCTAAAGGCCCTACTATTATTTTACTGAAACCAGGTCTATCGTGGGATCCCTCAGTTACCTTCGTTATGTCAGCAGTTATCTTATTTTTGTTGTCTTCTTTTCTGTCTCAGAGGATAGGTTTTCTTCTCCTTCATAAGGCCAGATTCTTATTTCTGTCACAGATTTTAAGTCCGCACTTCAGCAGCCTTTCGCCGTCAGTTCTCTCTCACATAATCCTTGCTCACTTCTTCTCTGTGTAAATGCACAGTCTGTCTTTGGCCTAAAATAAAATTTTTTCACTCCAGCTAGTGCTTTAAACTGACATCAGATTACTTTTCTGCTACTTTGAAATATCAGTAAACTTTGAATACCTGAATAATAGAGCTGTACAGAATCTTACCATGATACCTTAGCATGAATTCTCATGGGACATGATGATTGCGATATTGTGACTGCAACCCAAGACTGTTGAGGTGTCCTCTGTGCTTTCACGTTCTTGGGCTATAGTGCAAGGCTGAGATTCTATCCTTTTAGAAAAACATTACAGGTGATATGTCTTGGAAATAATGCATAAGTAAAGCCAGAAGTGGATTGGCATATGGGGAGAATTAAGAGAGGTTAGGATTCCAAGTAGCATCATGAGAAAAAAGCTTGCAAATTTAAGTGGAGAAAGGGAAGTCGTCCCTGTGACTGTTGGCAATGACACTAGATTCTTCACTCTGTAGTCATTGCAGGACCCACCATATTTTAAAGGTTTAAATTATTCAATTATTGATCATTGAACAAGTAAAAACACTTAGTCTACCTAGAGAGCTTGAGAGGGGGAAATATGAGGGGAATGAAATGTGCAGGGAGGCTGAAACATGCATATGTGTGACTCTGGATCTAGAATAAGAAATAGTCTTCCCTGAGGAAAAGTAGTTGGCCCATTTGTATAGAAAATTCTTCAGCAAAGCACTAGAATAGCCTTGTTTTCTGGAATAATCCTGACCTCATCAAGCCAAGAGAAATGAATTAATAGCTGTTCTCCATTCCTAGCATATATTATTGTAATTTTTGAGCGTCTGTTACAGATAAATGGTGACCGTAAGTTTGGGGAGACGTAAAACGGTTCACTTGGTAGCCTGCCAGTGGTGCATTAGAAACATTTGCGTTGGTTAGCCAGCCCTGAAGAGAAGGAACATTTTTATTGGCAGATCCCACAATGGTTCTTCTCTTCCTTATGCTGTGGTTTTGTTAACCATTACTTTTTTATTCCACTTTTATGTTAGCCTTTTTCCCTTAAGAAAGAAAGGATAAAAGGAAGCAGGGGAAAAATAATAAAATAACAACTGTAATAACTGTAATAAATTTTAAGTATCAGTTGAGGTCATGAGGTTCACTATTAAGAATTCTAGATGAGCTAGTTCGTTCGACACTGCCCTGCATTCAGACTCCTCCTGCAGTCCCACCCTACATCAGCATTCAGAATAAATTTTACAAGATCCATTTTTTATTTTTAGTAGAATTTTTATTAAGCTGTGAATGTGACTGCCCTGACAACTGGTTTGTTCAGGGAAGGGGTGGCAGAGCTCTTTGGTTTCATTGAGAGTTTAGAGCTGTTCAATAGGTAACCTCCTATATGCGGGCAGTTAGTTGTAAAAGTCGTCAAAGAATGAAACCAACGAGTAGAAGTTAAACAAATCACTATACTCATTGGGAGCTTAAAAAATAAATAAATATGATTTAAAAGTTGATGTCAACCCAGGTGAAAAATGAAAAATATTAGAATCTCCTGAACTGACTAGACAGACATGTTTGGAAGACTGGTCTTCTCTGGAAACAAGTAAAGCCGGCAGAAAAATCCAACTATCTCTGTGTTAAATTATATACTCATGAGATGCTTTCTGGCCGGAAAAAGGTCTCCCACAAACAGAGGATGAATTTTCATATGTACCTAAGAGTAGTCCAGTACTAAATTCTGACATTTTAAAAATTATTGACAGGAGAGAAAAGTAGAGAACAATTGCAATTAAGAGAGCTGTTAACAGGCCGGGCATGGTGGCTCACACCAGTAATCCCAGCACTTTGGGAGGCCAAGGCGGGTGGATCACCTGAGGTCAGGAGTTTAAGACCAGCCTGGCCGACATGGCGAAACCCCGTCTCTACTAAAAATATAAAAAATTGGCTGGATGCGGTGACTCTCACCTGCAATCCCAGCAATTGGGGAGGCCGAGGCCAGTGGATCACAAGGTCAGGAGTTTGAGACCAGCCTGGCCAACACGTACTAAAAGTACAAAAATTAGCCAGGTGTGGTGGCACACACTGTAATCCCAGCTACTCAGGAGGCTAAGGCAGGAGAATCACTTGAACCCAGGAGGCAGAGGTCGCAGTGAGCCGAGATCACGCCACTGTACTCCAGCCTGGGTGACAAGAGTGAAACTCTGTCTCAAAAAAAAAAAAAAAAAAATTATGGGGTTGCTGACATTAAAAAAAAAAAATCTCATTAGGGATTTATGACATAGTGTTCCAAATTAACCATGAAATTGTATATAGTTATTCAAATTATATCCTAGTAACAATTTAGGGGGGAAAATAAAAATGAAAATGCATTCTGAGTTACGTAAGAGTGTGTTTACTCTTCACAAAGTCGTATTTATTTATACTTCCACCAAAAGCCATTTTTTTTAAGTCTGTACACATATGATAAAAGACTTTTAGTGGACTTGGAAGCATTTTTCACAATGGGCTGGAATACTGAGATTGAATGTTATGTAGGAAACCCACATAAATTAATATAAAATTATTTTACACTTGGAAAAGAAAACAAAATATGGTGTACAGTTTAGCTATAAACAAATAGCATTGGTGGGTCTGGGACTAGTTAAAATTATAAAGCAAAGTTTATATCTACAATCAACTATCCCTTGGGACTCCTCCTCAGTTTTGCTTAACTGTCTCATTCTGCTCCCCTTTTTTTCTGCCCTGATATTCAGTGCTCTTATACGGCACACCCTATAGAAATTTATTTACTTTCTTGTGACCTGAATTGGAATAAATTACAAACAACCCTAAATGTTCTTTGACTTTCTCCTTCTTTAAATTTTAAACTTATTTTTAAATAACTTCCAAATAGAAGAAACCACGTTTAAAAAAAAAAATCCATGCTTTCTAATCGTATTTTTATGTTAAAAGCCTCAAGTGGCTGGAATAAGGTCTAGCAAATAAAGAACTAAACTTTTCAGGTAAAGGCCCCCAAAGTCCCTCTTGTTTTCAACTTTCAAAATTCTTTCTCTCTCTCTATCAATATATGGTTCACATGTAAAAATGTGCTTACCTGTGTAGGGATGCAATTAAGACTGTCCGTCATCTACTCCTCACAAGAGGAAGGAAGTGAGATTGTTGTCCTACTTTTTCCTCATCTTTTCTTTTTTTCTCTGCTGGAGGTATAGGATCAACCCTGATCCCTTTTGTTAAATATAAATGAATCATTTAAAAGGTTAATTATTGCAAGTAGGTAACCTGATGCCTTAACCTAATTGCAATAACCATTTGAAGAAAATCTGATATATAATTTACTAGTATGGCAGGTGTTTTTGGGTTTGTTTGGATTTTTGATGGTTTTTTTTTTGTTTGTTTTTAAATTTTCCTTTCAGGACCATCTTTTTCGTTGTCCTCCAGAGTGTACCCTATAGGTAGCTACTCACTCTGCAAATAGGTAAAACTCCCCTCAAGCTATGGATGTCAAAGATAGTAACGTATCCATTTAATCATCAGCTTTTCTTTCAGAAGTTACTGAATGAGTATTAGATGCTCTGTGTAGCAAAGGATGTGCTTACATTTTGAGCCAGTTTGCTTACCCATGAAACAGGCATAATAATACTTAGACCTATCTCATGAAGTTGTTGTAAGGATCAAATGGATTTTTTAAAAAAACACGTTTACGTTGGTAAAGCTGAATGCTTGCAAAGCGTGATATTTACAACTGAAAATCCAATTTGTACTTTTGTATTTGTACCTGGAGAAATCACTTAACTTTTCAGGTTTGCAGTTTTCTCACTCAGATTTGAAAGAGTTTCCTAAATCTCTAAGATCCCTCATCGATTTAAAAATTGTGTACTTTGGCCAGATGACCTCCTGAGGTCCCCTGATTCTGCAGTCGTAAATGTCCTGTGTAAATCAGGGAAGTAATTCATATACAAACAGTATACTACGGAGAAGTTAGAGGCCAGACGTCATGATTCCTGGCTGAGGACTAGGCTACATGTTCACTGAGTGAGACTGCCCAAGGCTTACCAGAGATTAGATGCTACAAAATGAGAGTGGAATCGTAATGTTAGAGCAGTGGGGATCTGCAGTTCCAACCCAGTCAACATGGAGAAATCCTTGTTCA